TTATTTWTTCTGTCCATTAAATATGGAAAGTTTTTGGCTGTATTACAAAGATACATACAACTGATGAATTGCCATTATAAAAAATATTTATTACACAAAATCCAAAATTCAAGTATATACATGTATGTGTGTTTGTGTTTTTAAACCCCCCTGACATTTTTGCTAATTAATACATTTGTGTGGGGTGTCTACTTGCTTAGTCATACTGACTTAAATGCACCAATTTGCTGGTCTGCATTCTCACTAAAAAGATTTCACAGGACCAAATTATCCTCAAGCTTCATGCTTCTGTGATTGGTAACAGTGAATTTGAGTTATGTGAGCTCTTGGGGATCTATGTGTGAGAGATGCATTAGAAAGGCAGATGGAACATCCATGCAGAGTACAGCTGACTCCGCTGAGTATTCAGGTGCACCATGATGTATTTTAGATGTCTGGAAAKGAGACATTTTGTAAATACCTTCTTGGACTTGAGAAAGATGAGGCAAGAATGTTAAGAATAAGGCTGTGTTAACACTGCCACTGCATAGAAGGATGTGGCTGAGACTTCACTAAAATGCTGTCCAACCTCATGGAACTCTTGAAGCCTCATCACAAGTTACAATAAGAATTTTTGTCAGAAAACTTATCTGTCTCTCCAGAATGCTGCCTCCATCTTTTGTTATCACTTGTAAGCACTCCAAAGGAGGAATCAGGTCTCTTCTTTATGTGTTCTCCTTCTTCCATGCTGTGATCCCTTTCATGGTAGGTTATTGACTCTTGGAAGTCGGCAGAATAGCCAGACAGATTGATTTTTCCCTTACTGCTTAGGCTGTTTCTATTAACATGTGAATAATATTTACTCTTTAGATATAATCAAATCCCCCAAATAATATTAAATTAAAATCTTTGGTCCAGTGGAAAACCACAGAAKTCAGGTGTAACATGTTTTAATATTCATACACACTTATGAATATGTGTACTAGATATCGTGCCTTAATATTAGGCACAGTTAATTTATTTTTTAATTATGCTTTACAGGAAGAAGATCTCAAAAGAGAGCAGCAGGATAWTTTTCACTGTCAATTTAAACATGTTAGGATTTAAGGTATCAGGAGTATAAGCTACTTTAAAGAATTCTACTGAAGTCCAGTCCATTTTCTGCATAGGTTCTCAAGGGCCATTGTAATTTTGATAGAAATGCAAGAAGCATTATGTTAGGAACTCAGTGAAAGGGATGTATAAAAATGTCTGAGAATTCCTTTTAACTGTAGGCCATTGACATGGTAAAATAAAAGGACATGTTTCAAGCAGGTGCATGTAGAAAGTCAGGTTTTGTTGCATACTTATGGGTGTTAGCCTACAAGTCGTCATCTAAATAGATGGTTGCTTATCAGCTAGTACAGGGGGAGGCTCTGTCTTCTGGTTTTAGCWTTCCTTTCACTATTCATAGGTTTCTTTTCCTTTTGTTTTCTTTCTGCCTTTCTTGTAGAAGTTTCTGAGGAAAACCTCAGTCAAGGATAATTTCTGTTTCTTCCCCTAGAAAGAAATAGTGTAGTACACAAAGTCCGATTACATAAACCTTTTATCAAAATCTTGGTAGGGCAGAATTAGAATCCATAACTTCTGGAATGCCTAGCTGAACTCTTTCAGAATCACTTTCTGGCAAAATTTTAACATTGGTCCACCCTTGGATTTTTATGCCTACACTTTAATGGGCTTGAACAATGGTTGCAATATTTAGCTGCTACATCCAGGATCTTTTTATTATCCCCACTTCCCACCCCACCTCTTTAAAATTAAGCAGTACCAGACGTTCAGCCACATTTACACCATTCTACTCTGCTACCTACAAAAACACCAGCTACTGTACCTTAAAATCCTGCTGCTGGGGAATTGAGGTCTGCATTAAAATTTTGGGTTCTTAGGTTAATCTATGCCATATTCACCTTCACCTGCCCTTCTGGCATTCCTGAGCCTTTTGCACAAGCTGTCAGTGACTTGTATTCCAAGTTAAATGGTATTGGAAAACACCATTGAAACACCATGTTGAAAAACACTGTTAATAATTTGGATRCATATCCTTGCAAGGCTCAGTAAATTTGCTGGTTGCATTTTGCATTGCTGGTGGAGGTTTTCAGGAACAATATTTTCATCCATGTTAATGAATGTTGGTGTTATGTAGGATCACACACTKTTTCCAGCATCTTGAATCTTCTCATCACCGATTTATGTTGACTTCTTGTTGTATGTTGTAGTTAYCTCATTTAGTTACAATGATTCTGAATTAACTGGGTGAAGTTCGAAATTAATCTTTGAAATAAAAACAAAATYCTACTTGAGATTTTTGACAGCCTCTACTGCTGTAGAGCTTATGTTGTGTCTGCCCTGGCAACACACTTTGCTGTCATTGTGTCTAGTTGTTGTTTAGGGAATGTAGTCATCAGGCTAATGAAGTAATTTGCCCAAGATCATGCCAGAACATGAACTAGAATGAGTATTTCCAGTCCTAAATGAGCATCTTGCAGCTTCAGGGGTAATCCTCATCATTCAGAAGTAAGCATGGGATTCTCTGTGGTGGAATGGGAAACTACAGAAACCAAATTACAACCTGGCATTAACACAAACTCTTGGCAGAAAAAGCAGCCAAGTAAGGCCAGGCTAAATGTTTTGGCCATGCTAGTTATCTTTTCACTTTCTCATGCCAATCCATATTACTTTATAAAAAAACATAGCTTTTTTGAAGACTTTTCAGATTTTTTTTTTGAGGGAAAACTGATAATTTCATGTTTCTGAAAAATGTGTGTGAATTTTTTTGGCAGTATGTATAGAGGATAGAAATGGCACWAATTAATTAATCTCCTTCAATACTTTACATCATCAACACTCTCTATAACTCAGGGAAGAGGAAAAGAAACATGTAACCTCTAAACTTTTTGCCCCAGTTTATAATCTGTAATGGCTAAATGGATCATTTTTGAATGTGTGTAATAAAACTCTTAGGCTGAAATATTGTATTTCAGGTTCAAGCTGAATCAAATTTTTACAGGCAACCTGTTGACCTCTAGGCCAAAAGTAGATAGGGTTGTAATGGAAATGCTGATGAGCCTTAATAAAGCAACTCTTCCAAATGTCAGAGTTTCATCAAGTACATGTACTGCCTACATTACACCTCTTGCATGTACTGTAAGAGACGCATGAACATATCAAAATAACATCAAATGCAACTAATGTATGTCACATTGGTGTAGCTGGAAAAGCTGGTGAATGTGCAAAAATCTTCTGTGGCAAAATAAGAATTCTATTTTGTAAGACCTCCTCCTTGCAGTACAATTAATTACTGAGTTCATTAATTAATGAACATATTAGCAAAAGAACACCATTACTGACCAGTGTAGTCCTGATATATTACCGAGTCAATAAACTATTGAACATGAAACAGGACCTTCCAGGAGATTTTTTTCTCATAACCCACAAACACATATATTATTCTTGCACGGTCAGCACTTCTTTGGTACCGTTATATTTCATATTACTAATTCTTTTAATCACACATCCATAGAGCAATGTTTTATAACGTAGCTAATGAGTAATTGGACAGGTGACATTGGGACTGAAGCCTTGAAGTGTCAGGCATAACAGAGCAAGATTTTTTTTTTCCCCCACTATGTTCTTGAGAGTAAAAGGTTGTAAAGGAGCAGATAAGATAGAGCAATAAAGGACTCTTGTAATAGAAATTTGTCAGAGAAATACAGATATTAAGTGTATCCATGAACTATAAGTGTCTTTAAATTTCTGTCTGATGCAGATAAATAYGTAAAGGAATCAACCATTTAAAATAATCCTGAGCCCTTTTCATTGTCAGCAGCCAAAAAATTTAGCCTGGCCAAGCTAATGCTAAATGTAAATTTTTTTTTTTTGCATCACTACAGTTAATTATTTTTGATATGGAAAATATGTGTGAATGTGTGTATTAATTCTTCGGAAAAGGAAAGAGTCTGAATTCTTCAGTATCTCTGTGGCAATAGGTACCAATCACCCTTCCCCCACCTTAGCCCCCAAGTAATCATTGATTGCATCTAAATCTATAGAGATATCTTTTCCTGGCAGGTCTGGTAGTTACAGTAGATTGTTAATCTGTGAATGATCAGAATAAGCCTCTCTGTCTCAGAAATCTCCATGCAAATTACATCTAAATGCATGCCATAAATTTATTAGTAGCAGTTTGAAGTGCACAGGTCATCTTCTACACTATTTAAAAACATATGTCTGTTACATTATAAAGAGTCTCATTCAATTTATATTCACTTTTCTGTGGATGTAGCTARCCCTTGTCAAAGTAAACCTGTGTGATTTTTGTAATAATTTTTAAAAGGAAGATGAGCAAGTGTATTATTAAGGAAGGTGTATTATTAAGCAAATTTGAGATCTCTGCATGGGACTGGAGTTTTAGCGTTGCTACCTTGAAACAGAGAAAAACATGTTTAACAAGGAAGGAGTGTTAAGAGGTAAAAGGCTATGACTAGATATTGGAGAAAGTGAGAGATGTAAAGTCAAGTTACAGGATGTTTTACGAACCAGTCCTATTCTTGTACCTTGATCATTTTATTCTGTTTTGGGAACACATCAAATGCATTACTCCTTTCTGCAGGAGGGGTTATGTCTTAGGTGAACCCAAAAAAGGAAATTTGAAAATAATCTTTGGATTTCATGGGGGAAGGGGAAATATATCTGTAGTTTTCCTTTCCATATATTTTTGTTTCCTAATTTTACTCTAATTTTACTCTAATTTGAAAATTATGCTCCTGTGGTAAGACATCACTGTTAATGTTTTTTCTTCATGATGTTCATGTCAAACCAGAATATTATGAMACTCCTACAGCATCCTCATCCTACCAACTTTTTTTTTTTTTTCATAAAGAAAATAGACTGATTCTTTTAAGTATTTTAGGAATGTATTCCTCYCCATGGGACATACTGACATACGTTTTTGAAAGAAAATTAATCTCTACTTAAAAAAGGACCAAGGCTTCTGGTTTTTGCTGGGTTTTGCTTTTTTGCTGGGCTTTCCTATACAGTTCATACCCTTCCAGCCATCATAACAAATTTTTAGAATCAGGAAGAAATATATTAATACGTGTTTTCTGTTTCTTTTTGCAGGCCATCCGCTGTACACTGGTAAATTGCACATGTGAATGTTTTCAGCCAGGGAAGATTAACCTGAGAACCTGTGATCAGTGTAAACATGGCTGGGTGGCACATGGTAAGAAACAGCTGTTCCGGGCTTGTTTTTTTGRTTCTGTTCAACTTCATCAGTATCTTTAAATAATAAGAACTGGGCTGATACAGATAATAGTGGTACCTATTTGTCTACAATGCATGTGTGCACAATCTGAGTTGGTGCATATGTATGCATGCACATGCTTTTTTAAAGCAATTTGTGGGATGCAAGAATAAGAGTGCTGTTCTGGCAATAGAATCAAGTAACACTGGAGTTCAACAGCTTGTGTATAGCTCAAAAGAATATCATAGCCTCCAGAAAATAGTATAGTTCTAGTAGGGCTTAACAGAAAGGCAAAASGTTTAGAGTATGGTTGCACAGCAGAGTTTGTATCGCAAAGAAGCATCAGCCAACATGTTATGGGGCCAAACAGAAATTCAAACATACGAGGGTCAAACTTTGAGATCTCACATGTTGGGATAAAATGAGTGTATCCTATATGGCAGTGAAAGTCTGCAAATGTGATTTGTGAGTCGAACATCTCTTCCCACATTTAAGTATCTAAATAAAGAAAGGAGGGATTAGAATGCCCGGATCCTGTATAAAGGCATGCGAATTCACATACAGACCTTCAATTTTATTTGTCCTTTTCTATCTAATGTTTTTGAAAGGATTTTTTTTCTTGATAGTCATTATTAAACTAGCATGAGAGAGCAGGACCCATTTCAGGTCCAGAGCTGTATACAGCATTAGATAGCAAATAAGGAGGATACCTAAAATGGTTTAATGAAAGAAAAAATGCTGGCGSGGAGGGAGGGAAAGATTACTATATGTGTGGAAGAAAGTATTATTCTTGTGATCTAGGCTATTGGCACGTTAGCAAGCACAGTCCTTATTACCCACTTCTGCCAGACGTTCAGAGGCTCATATTCTGTGAATTGTATTTTATTTTATTTTATTTTATTTTATTTTATTTTATTTTATTTTATTTTATTTTATTTTATTCTTATTTGTTCTATTCTATTTTTTTAATTTTATTTTATTTATTTTATTTTATTTATTTTTATATTTATTTTTATATTTATTTTATTTTATTTATTTTATTTTATTTTGATTGGTTGGCACTTGGCTCCTAAGATACACTTGATCTCTATTTATTTAGTTCAAGTCTGTGTGGTTTTGTGCTTGAATATGCTGACTTACGGCAAGTGTGAATGCTCAAAAAATTCAAAAGCATAGATTGACAGAGAATTTTTGAAGCATTTWGATACGTGGAAAGAAAAGCAGGTATGCAGCTAACGTGCAGTCCTGTGTCACTGCCTAACAATGCCTACAGCCTGCCTAGAAATGTCCTAACACTACCCATCTGGTAGCTGGTTGTGGGTTTATTATATACTAGATTATCTAGGGACRTTATCTAGGACATTTACCTTTGTTCCTCTTATTTCCCAGAAAATTATCTTCAGTCACATGTCTTGGAAGAACCACTCAATCTCCCAAAATTTGWATTGTTCAGGCATGCTTCAGGTTTTGTGTAGAATCAGCATCTGAGGTCTTGCTGATCCAAAGATAGGGAAGCACTGTGTAGCTATTTTCTAGGGTGTCCTCCTGTTGAGCAATAGAAATTGAGAATCTAACACTCAGATAATAGCTCATGGACATCCTGAATTTTCTTTTTAATGAGTACTTCTTGGAAGTGTATAATCAGATTTTCCTTCCCTGTGATTTAATTCAAAATCAGAATATATGACAGCAATCTGAGATTACCAGAGGGTATGTAATAGAAATGACCCTGTTTTAAAAATCCAGAAAGTTGAAAGGTGAATGTTGTGATTATGGATATATCATCTGCTCCMATACCTGAGTGCTTAACACCCTAAATTGAGAACTTAATACAGCTATATATTACTAGAAAATATTTGTTTTGCTACTGTGCCAAGTGAATAATGCTCAGATTCTTTTTTTAAAAAATTTGTACACTTTTTGTACATTCATCTGAAGTGTTTACATTTTATGGTAGAGTGAGACAAGTCAGGTATATGTTTCATATACATCAGGCATGGGCTTATAAATTACTTTCTGGAGACATTATATATTTGCTTCAGTTCTTGATCTTATCTGTTTTTKAGGATTTTGAGGGCAGCATTCAGGAGTGAGATCAATTCACTGCACTGTACCACCTGGATTTCAAAATTACTAAAATCAGGTTTCAGTTCAGAAGTCCTATTCTTTAAAACTGTTAGCATAGTATGTTCAGAAGTTATTCCTTGAATGCAAACAGTATTTCCTGCTGCTTTAATTWAAGAGTTTCCTTATGATTTTTATTAATGAATTTCAGCTCAGCTCCTTGACACATGATATAACGCTTTACTGAATGTAATTATCAAAGAATGGTGTTTCCAACAGGAAGCACTGTGCTTATTCAGTTTTGATAACCTAGAATCATAATTAACTGAATAGATCAAAAAATAGCTTAGAACTGCAGTCTTCTCATGCTGTACTTGACTAATCTTTGTGGAGTTAATTCATTTTAATAGCTGCCATTTAAAGCATTGGAATTCTTGGAGTGAGGAGGAAAGGGCATAGAGCCTCTGCTGTACTGTGGCACTTAGCAAACTGCTGGCCTGTTTTCTTTCTTCCTGCTTCCATGGTCTTTTTCATGTTTTCCCTTGCTCACCTAAAATAAACTGTGCATATCTAAAAAAAAAAAAAAGGGTTTCCTACAAGTTTAGATACATCGGTCTGGAGCTGCCAAAAGCAGGGTTGCGACTATGTGAACGGATACACTGGAAAATAGTYGTGGCCAGATAAATGTTCTGTTGCCAAAAGTTCAGCTTATCATGGTTTGACCCCTGTACTACAGTGTTTTTAAGGCCTGAGACAAAAGCTGCACAGAGTGTAACAACAGCATCAAGTACTGATGGAGAATGGGTTATTGCTAGGATGAATCTCTGAATATAGTAAGGAATTTGGACAACTAGAAAGTTTTCATTTGTTCTCAGCTGAAGCCTGGCTTTCATATTGTCAGGTGGGGGGGCGGGGGG